TTTGAGCCCCGATGCTCTCACAGTGATGTGACTCAGTATTCGGAGCTGGACAGAAACGATCAGCTCGTCGCCTCCAGCAGCTGCTCCTGTTCTGAGCTGCCATATCTTATTCATAACCTGCTGAACAGTAACAAGATCCAACACTCATTCTCCCTTCAGCCTCGTTCTCAGGCTGCTGCTCATATCTGAGCAAAGAGAACGGCTTCTTCTATGATCCTAACTTCTCAATTCAAGTCAGTTGTGTTATGTTTCAGTGCCTTACTTACACTCTTTCATTGATAATGATTTTGTTCATTTGATTTGTGTTTACGTAAAGATAGAGAAGAAGTTGAACTTTTTCCTATTCAATCAGTAATAATTCCTTTACATTTTTGACATTTCTTTCCAATATTCCTTTAAAATAACATAATATTCCAACAGTATATAAGAGCAGTGGCGGAATCTTTTTATAGCAGTCTTAATCCTACAGAAATAAAATAGTATTATGTACAGTATACTAATATATAGGACAAATGTCCTCGGCTGGATGAAAAGTTTATGGTCTGCAGTGATGGAAGAAGTCTTCAGACGCCTTTACTTAAAGGCTCCAGTGTGTAAAATACTTATGAGGATATATGCTCACCAAAATGTAATATAATATTCATAGGTATGTTTTCATTAGTGTATAATCACCGGAAAATCTGAATCGTTACATTTTTTGTTGCCTTAGATGAGCCATTCTTATCTACAGAGGGAGCGGGTCCTCTTCTACAGAGTCCGCCATGTTGAAGCGCCATCTTTCTACAGTAACCCAGAAAAGACAAACCAAATCCTGGCTCTAGATGGGGCCGTTCGCATTATGTGTTATGTTGTTTGATTATAATGGTTCAAAAGACAACCATGTTGAGTACTATTGATATAATCTTTTAACAATTTATTGTATTTTATGTGAATCATATATGTTTTATTTAAATTTTTAATCTAAAAAGTAACTATAGCTACAAAATAGATGTAATGGAGTACTATGAATGAATACTCAAGTACAAATACCTCAAAACTGTACTTAAGTACAGTACTTGAGTAAATGTGTTCAGTTACTTTCAATCACTGAAGGTTGGCGCTTTAACCCCTAGGCCCACCGGGGGCCCCAATCTGCAGGATTTTTATTTTCTTTATTTTTACAAGCATGTAAAAGGATATTTATATCTTTCCTTTTTTCTAACTGCTTTTATAAGTAAATATAATAAATAATCTTGTCTGTCTCATGCAGGTTAATTTAGACTGGTGACCTTAAGTTGTTTTTAAATGTTACATCAACAGTCATTTATTATCTTTATTGATTGAACCTGACCTTTGACATTTAACACACATGCTGAAAGTTGAGATACCAACCAGTGTTTATTAGGCTGTTTGAAGGATACTGCAAAATATAAACCAATTCACTGTCAGGACTATTTGTATTTTAGAGATTTCAACAATTATAATTGGCTAATTAATTGTAATTAAATGTCTACTTCATAAAATTAATTTTTTTATGCAGAACAACAACAAATAAAGGGGATAAAACTGCATGTCACGGACATTGTTGCATTTTTAAATAGCAGTGAGTGAACAATAATTGATTATTTGTTCTGTAATAGGCCAGACTATTAATAATCGTAGGATTATAAACACACTCACAGCCTCTCACTGTAACACTCCCCTCACAATATGAATATGCACAATACACATGCATATAATATTATCACTGATCCACTGTTATGATATCATCTTACTTTTCCCCCTGGGAGAGTCACATGACCCCTGTTAGGGTGAGTGAGGGGGGGTCAAAGTGCTTCAATGAAAACCACATGGAGGGAGGAGAGAGCTGCGCCTAAACAGAGAGAGAGAGAGAGAGAGAGAGAGAGAGAGAGAGGCCAGCATGAGCCACAGAGACAGACAAGGAAGAACAAGAGAGCAGCTGTAGGGAAGATCTAAGCCTCCAGAACCAAGATCAGATCCAGGACGCAGAGGCTCCACGACAACCAGAACCAAAATCAGGACCACAGACCGGGAGCAGCCGAGTCCACCATGTCAGAGTCCATCAGAAGAAAAAACTCCAGCAGACAGCTCCTGCAGAACCTCATCAGGTGAGAGAAACATTTTTTTTCATAGCTTTGTTATTTTTTTGTCTTTTTTTTATGTCGTCATTACATAATAAAGAAAGTACTTAGCAATTTACAGTTAGAGTTACTGCTTACTTTGTTTACAAAACTTTTACAGTACACCCAGCAGTATATCGATATATACTAAAGTCCTCCTTGACCAGACTGTTGCTAAAATGTCTATATGTAAATAAAGAAACACAATAATTTATAATAATGTAATTCTGACAGGAGCCACTCTGCCTGCATGATAAGTACTTTTTCTTTTGATAATTTAAGAATATTTTACTTTAGGGTACTATTTATACCTTAACTGAAGCATATACTAATGAATACTACTAATATTGTAATAATGTAATCTATTGATACAAATATTCCATGACTGGAATAAAGCAAAAACGTAAATATGTAAGTTTTTGTGGAAAGGTAAACAAAGGTAAATTTTGAATTTTTTGCTCTTTAGCAAAAAAACTACAACAAAAACAAGATGCCATCAAGTGTAAACCCAAATTCGAGGCTCATATTCACTCTAAATATTGTAAAAGGGAGACAGTTTGGGCATCAACTCTTGTCAGAAAAGGTGTTCTTTCCTAAAACTGCAGATAAGCAGGACTGCTTGCTTTTATCTGCACTTAAACTTCAGCTTTAGCTTTATTCTCCCTGAAGAACACTCAGACATGATTACAAAACAAATTGAAATATGTGCCACACAAACTCATATAAAACAATGAATGTACATTGGTGAAAGAATAACATAAAACCTGGAGTGCATCCAGCCATCATCATCCAAATTAATCATCATGGTCGGTAGACTTTGCAGCCAATGGATTTTCATTTTGAAAACCAAAATCAGGAAATGAGCTGTTTCCATTTCATTTCTAAACAAAAAAACATTTTTTTAAAATATAAAAACTGCTTGTTTTCCGAGCTGCTTGTTTTTTCTCCTTTCCAAATGAAAATCCATTGGCTGCAAGGTACACTGACCCATCACCAGACATCCACCAGTATTACCTGCAAGTATAATCCTGAGCACTGAAAAGTTTGTTTGTATGAGGGACTTCAAATCTGCATGATATACATAGTTGTAGAGCGAAAAACATGACAGCAGTCTGCTCTCAACCAAATTTATTGCTTCATACTAAACTTTGTAAATCACTGAAACAAGAAAATCTGAACTGGGAAAAACGTTAGGGTTACAAGACAGCAACATTGATAGCCTGAGACAGGTGTCAATCAAGCAAATGTGCACCAAAGCTTACTTCTCCTCAAATCCTGATATTACAGAAGCTCTATTTTAGTCCCCAAATCTCCATCATGACACACATTGTAAAAAGTAAAGTTAGCTTCTGAGAGCAGAACACAATGTATTGACACTGTATTCCCATTCTTCTGAATACAGACTGGTATAGTGGTCAAGCATTTGCATGTGGTGGTTGCTAAATTAAAAAGTGTATAATGTGTTCTCAAAAGATGTTACCTAACAAGGGTTCTCAGAGAACAATAAGGTGACTAGAATCAAACCATGTGGACCACCAGACAAAAGATGAGCAAAGACTAAAGACACAGAAGACCAGATTGTGGTCTATGACCTGGTTCAGACTATTTCAAAAGCCTGTCGTCAGAGGTAAAGAGTTGACTGCAGTGAATGTATCACCGAGTTTAAGAACTGCTAACATAGGGTAACCCTCTCCATCGGCAGTCAGCTGTTTATCATTACTGGGTTATTATTAGCAGGTATGACTAAGCTTGCAAAGGATACTGAAAAAATAGAAAGAAATTTATTTTCACAAAATAAGTTTGTTTCTCCCAAGTCATTTGGATTGCAGAGCTTCACTCACACCTCTAATGAAACACGGCTGTTTGGGGTTTATTAACAAAGTAAACAAAGCTAATTGGCTGGTAGTTTTTCATTTGATCCACCATATGAAATATCAGTTACGTTAAATTGAATGACATCTTTTAAATCATTTCTCGAAACACATCTCTAAAAGCTTTTTATTCTTTCTAGCACAACGTTTAATTTCTATCATGTTTATCATATATTAGCGATGGGTATTTTTAAAATTTTGTCTCATATTAATTGTTTAAAATGATTTGCCCCAGTGCAGTTAAGTTTGCGATATGTTTTATCTGTTTTATTGTTAGTATCACATTTTGTATTCTTTTTTCTACCTATGATTTTAATTGTCTGTTTTTAATTTGCCTCAGTCATCCTAAAATGGTTTTACATTATTACAATGGTATTATTATTATTATTCATTCAAGGGGGCTTTATTGGCATGGGCAACAGACATTTATGTTGCCAAAGAAAGTGTAAAATATATCCATTTACAGATATATATACCATGTCAAACAGTATAAAGACCTAATATCAGTAGTTTTTCACTAGTCTGTCCACTTAGTCTATTCTGATTTATCTCCTCTAACAGGCCCAGGAGCCTAATTTCTTGTGTTGTTTTCTGTATTTGTGTCCCCGTCCTAACTACCGTTCCTCATTGTCAGTGAGGTTCTTGTTTCCTCAGTGATCAGTGGAACATTGCTATGTGACCTCACTGAAAATGACACTGAGCTCTGAGTTCAATGGCTTCTTTTATAGCTGCAACTTCCTTAATGGCCATGACATCATCTGGCTGACTCCTGAACCCCCTCCTGCTCAACTACACACACACACACACACACACACACACAAAGAAAATGCCGTTCCCCAGGCCTCCATTGCCTCATTGTGTAAATGGTGGAAAAAGTGATGCGTATCAGACAGATTTCCTCCATAATTTGCTCGTTTCACATTTATGCTCCACAGCATTGTGTTTAATCTCCCAGCAGACTCTGAAGATACCTGGAAGTGCAGACTGGCCTACAGAGACAATACACAGCCGTTACTGTGTGTGAATAAAGCAGAGCAGACATCCCTCAGCTACATCCACGTCAGTTAGTGCAGTGGATCCCAACTTTTTTCCTTAAGTCCCTGTCATTTAGTAAACTGCTGACCCCTGAATTAGTGACATATTATAATGGATATTTCATATTAGGGTTATATTCAATACAGAACAATAACAATACAGAACAACTGATAAGCTGTACAATTAACCCAAACACTGAATGTAATAACTATTTATTATTAATAATAACAAACAGGAAGTCATCTTCTTTTTTGACAAATTCAGTGTTTTCTTCTTTTGTGATGCTGGACCATCTCTTTGGCTGTTTTAACTGCATACTTTTTTTAATGCAGAATGAGGTATACAGCACAGGCCACACAGTACTATACATATGAACACATATACCCCCCCGGGGGCCACGCATCACAGCCAAACCATCCCCCGACACTTCAGTTTAGATCTCAAATGAATAGAAATGAACGGAAAGCTGAGAAAGTTTTCTTGCACTCCTTAAAATCAAGAAGGCCCCGTTAAGCTTTTTGTCGACCCCCAGGTTGGGAACCACTGAGTAAGTGTTTTCCTAGACTTCTCATAATGCCTTTGATATTGAGCAGTAACTTGTTGCTTTCAGCTGTGGGTTTGACATGACATACGTCATCACTGAGATATTTACAGTCCCTGAAGTCCTGAAAGTTTTTTTTTTAATATTGTGTGCACAAGCAACCCTGTTCCCTATAAAGTCCTTATATTAATTACTGTATAGTCTTCCCAATGATGTGGTGTCAAACATATTTGCTGCTTGTATTATGTTTAGAGATTTTTTTTTATTTGAGAGGCTGAAAAGCTACAATTATCTACCACAACTGGGCACAAAGACAAAGTTCAGAACTTTAACACCAGAGTCTGGAGTTCACAGTCAGAATCCTGCCTGTGGTTAGGTTCAGGCAACAAAAGCACTTTGGTTAAGGGTTAGGGAAAGATCATGGTTTTGTTAAGAAACCCATTGTGTCTCAAGTCACTGCTGAACTTTTCTGTATTAAACCAGACCACCAGGGGCATGTCCAGAGGGTGGGGGTCATGGAGTGGCACTGGCCACCTCTGAAATCTGGTTGACCACCCCAAGTGCCACCCCATATCATGCTATCATTTCACGAAGGGGGCTAAATAATGCTCCAAAGTTAGGCAAAATTTTGGCGATGGAAAAACTTGAAAACCCTTAACCTCAAGATATCTCAATTAAAATGGCAGGTACCCACAAGTCTCCCCTTTGCAGACATGCCCACCTTGTGCTAATCCCATGCAGTTTTGGGCAAAAACCATACCGTTTTTTGCATGTGGTATAAATGTGTTATTTTGACTTAGTGTATTTGAATATATCTGCAGACTGGGGTCCAGTATACATATATTGTAATTGCATAAATTAGGAATGACTTAAAAGCTGAAGACACATATTCATACACCCCTGCATATGTCTGTGCCACACTTGTGCCGTCCCAGTGAATAAAGTCTGGACACACCCCTGCAGACCACAACCTTTTCCTACCCTTAACTAAGTGCTGTGAGTAGCTAAACATAACCTTAAAAAAGTGTAATAGTGCTGTAGTTACTATGAGCAAGACATGGTCTGTGATCACAAGATAAGAAGGTGAAAAACATGCAATTTTACTGATACGTTCAGTATTGACATTTTTACGACTTCCCAGATATGTCCATTAAAGACACTTCCTTAATATGTTAATAGAAAACATAACATCTGTTTTCAGACGTATGTTTGCAAATGATGTCATTTCTAGGAGCCAGCGTTGGAAGAAAATACTGACTTGTGCACACAAGTTATCCCTATTTAAGATCATAACTTGTGCAGACAAGATATTAGATGTATGCTGTGCAGATTCTTTTCAGAGTAAACTGTATTTGATTTGTAAATACTGGCTAAAACTTTTTAAATCTGTAACACCACCGATATGGTCCTTTGAGGATTTCATACTCCTTACTCTTGTTCCATTTCAGGCAGCAATGATGAGGTCCAGACATTCAAACCTCATCCCCAGTCAACCCAAAATGGGCTGACTGAGAAGCCAAAACAGCCCTATCACAGATCAAATCGATTTACAGCAACTGGCTTTTGCCAATATGGCTCCAACTACATCTCTATTCATTTTGATCTTATGTAGGTCACTTTCCCACATAATAATGACCGCAGCCTGTTTGACTCACAACCATTCATGGCCAGTGTCCTCACCAACAGCCAATGACAATGACACGATTTTTTTTATTATGATTTCATCCAGCCAAATGTTTGATGAACTGAGGGGTTGACATGTTGGGATAATGAATCATATTTTTGGGATCATTGAGTTGGCCAGTACAAATGCAAATGGTCGCCATGTTTTATGTATTTTGTTAATGAGAACCAACAAGCTCAAGGCTTTGGCCTGTTTTTTGTCCATGATGCTGCTGCAGTTTTGTGACTAAATTCACAGTCTACGGATTTTACCAGTCCTTGCTCTGTGCAAGATGCATTGTAAAATGTATCTTAAACATACTACAAAGAGTTTTTAACTGGTCATGAAACAGTCTCAGTTTAATATTGATGCCTCCATATGATCTACATAATCAAACAAGACCATCAGCAAGAAGATTTCTATATAGTTATTTTTATTACCTGCATACCTTGGTGGAAGCAGTACCGCTTTTGTCCACAGTGGCCGCCAGAATCAACACAGAATGAAAGTTCCTTGTAGGCAGGAGCGGATCTAGAGCGGTGGCATAGGGTGGAGGCTGCCATAACTAAAAAATACCTTTCCACCCCAGTTTGGTCAAATTTGACACATTCATTTAGATTCAGAACGTGTTTAAAAAATATATAATTTAATAATCTGTTACGGCCACATTTTAGAATAAGCGATAGGATTAAGTTAAATGAAATGTATGTATGTATTTGGAAATAACACAATTTATTGCTTTTTACTGCCACCTTTAGATATTTCTTTTCAATTCTTTGCTAATATAACACAATCATGGAATATTGTTGAGTTAAAGTATCTTCATTTGGGAGCTTTTCCATGCAAATATTGATAGATTTGATTATCTGCAATTAAATCAGCATTTAATTCTGCCATCCTTTTGTCACTCCATGTATATTTCTCTAGATTTTCCCCTGCTTGTAGGGGCTTTTAGCTAATATCAGACCACGGCAGTCTACTGAAACCTCATATTAACTTTATGTAAACTTTGGAATACAGATTAAGGACTGTGGAGTACATCCAAAAACTTGTATAAGTAATACATATAATAAAATTCAACAAGCTCAGGAACTTGGTCATTCAGACATTTTCGACAAAAGAGCCCTTTGTTTGGAGGTAAAACTAAACGTGAAGTATCTAAAGTGTTAATAATCAATAACCATCATTTGACAGGAAAACTGTAGCTACAGTCAGTCTGTAAACTGTGATGGATGTTTACAACCGACAGTTTGGGTAATCATTTTACCAGCCCTTGTTTTCTCTTTCATTGAGGTTCTAATAAAAAGAAAAGGTTTGTAAAAAAAAAGGAGAAAAAGAAAAGGTTAGGACATGTATCACTGTCATGTTTCTTCCCCACATTCTTCTTTGAGATCTCAGCAATTACTTTGGTGAGAACAACATTATCATGGCCAAATCTCTGAAAATATGATCCAAGTTGTAAACCGTAATTATCCTTTAAAAACCAATGACATCACACTTCGGAAAACTTGTTTGTACCCAAAGAAAGTCCAACAACAGGTGCTCTCCAGAGATTTCAAACCAATCAAACGGCTTACTAAATATTTCCAAAGTTCTTGTTTCCAAATTTTTGACAGGATTTTCTCCAGACCTCCATAAGTATGACAAGATGGAGTTCTGCAGGATTAAAGTCTCCCTCCATCATCCGTTCTTCTCCTCCTCCGTCTCCTCACCTCCTCCCTCTTGCTCTCTTTGTTTCTCTCCAGAGATTGAAATTAAGTGAAACAGCACAGCAGCTGGCTCGAGCTCCACCAGATGTGCTTGGACAATAAAAAGAGTTATTGTTATCAAGTCCCGCCCACTGGAAACTAAAACCCATTAGGCACAAGTACTGAATGAGCTTTCTATGAAACAGAATATCGATGATTTTTAAATCCACTTACCTGAGAAAGTCCTACACTTTTCCATAGATACCTTTCACTGCTGTAGCAGGCAAATAACAAATAGAAAATGTGAATCATGTTTAATTTGATGCCAAAGTGGTTTAAATTGTCATTCCTCGAACGTATTTTGTATCTCTCTTCACTACATCCATCTGTGTTTTATATCTCTCTGTCCACAAACTTTTGTGTACTTTTGAGCCATTTTCATGGTTTAGGTCTCTGCTCCAATTAAAATAAATCTTAATGTTACAGCATGACATTTGAGAAAATAATGTTCTTCCAACTTTGTGGCAACAGTTTAGGTTAAGCTCCATAAAGAAATAGTTTTCCCAGTTTGGTGTGGAAGAACTCGGCTAGCCTGCACAATGACCTGACCTCAACCCCATCCAAAACCTTTGGGATAAACTGGAACACTGACTGTGAGCCAGACCTGATCACCCAACATCGGTGCTGGACCTAATGCTCTTGTGGCTGAATGGGAGCAAATCCCTGCAGCCAGGTTCAACATCTGGTGGAAAGCCTGAAACCAGAAGAGTGGAAGTTGCTACAATGAAATATTAATGCTCATGATTTTGGAACGACATGTTCAACAATCACATATCGGTGTAATGCTGTGGTGTCCACATAACTTCTTTTAACCATGTAGTGTATCTGGAGCCTTTTGGCGACTGGGGATTGAAGGATTTGGGGCAACAGGGAGACAGAAAATCAACTGTACCATCACCAACATACTCAGGATCAGGATCAAGTTATCGAGTAGCATCAAACACACCCCTTTTCCACCAAGGCAGCTTGGAGGCAGTTCTTTACTTCTTGCCCTTGGCCATGCAAACTGGTTCCAGTGAGGCACCAACACTTTGCTGGTCTAGAACAGCCATCTTAGAATTTTTCATTTGTTGCAATCGTGCAGCCCTTAAAAAACTTTGGGGTTTGAACTTCAGTTTATAGATTTTAATCAGTGTAAACATCATATAGCTAAATAGCTGGAACAAGTGGTTACACAATATAAACTGTGCTGTCAGACAGTGTGGAGGCTGTAGGCTCCTAAATGAACCCATAGTGGAGTGTTGTGGGGGTGTAGGAGTGTGGTGACAAGCTGTTTGGTTGTCCTTTTTAGGGTGACGGCCCAGCGGAGCCAGGAGGATGCTGAGGAGGTAGAGCGGGAGCGAAGGAGGAGAAGCAGGGAGAAGGAGAGAGGGGAGGGGAGCTCTTCTTGGACAGAGCCCCCCCAACACAACAACCTTGCGCACAACACAGAGTGAGTATGACAAACTATTAGACAGCACTTTACTCTTCTGTACAGGCATATTTACAAAAAACTTGTTGTAATGTGACTGTGTCAATCTCAGTGATACAGATAATATAATTTTTTTTCTAAATTTAGTTTAAGTAGATCTTCATTCCTCTTTATGTACAGTTTTCATTAATGCATATAAACTGGACAGAAAAACTGGAACTTGTCAACGTCACCAAAGAAACGTTTTTATTCCTACCTAAAATAAAAGAAGAATTTGGAACATGTTAGCTCTGTTAACTTCTAATAAACTGATGGTTTGTTAGAATTAATAAATAAACTGTTAATGCTGTAAAGGAATTATATGACATTTTGGGATTTAGATGATTTCGGCGGGCAATTTTAATACAAAGTAGTAACCACTGCATGTGATCATTCAGAGCCTTCATTAGGCCATACAATACCACTGGATTTGAGCTTCTGTGCTGGTAACCCACTATGAAACAACATTACTGTCTTCCACTTTATAAAGGCTAGTCGTTCTTCTGCAATTATTTTGTAGTGCAAATTTGTATTAATTATTTTGTAACGCATATTCTACAAAGACAGTTATATTGTAAAATAACTTATACAAAAATAAAATAGGAGTAATGTGTAAGATATTACATTTTGGAAGTAACTTGCCCAGCACTGGTTATAAGCCTTTTGTAACCTTTCATTGCCAAGTTGTTCATAATCCCTTTGACTTGTGTCTTTTTAGCTATCTAGAGTCCTGTGTTTTGATTTTTGGAGGTGGTGCAATCCGTTTGTTTGTGTTTACATCGCAGGTTGGATGTTAAACTGTGCTTGATGTTTACAGCTGAGTCTGCAGTACCTGCAGTGCTGATTACTGGGGAAAGGACTTCTGTGTGTGTGTAATCAATAGGTCCAATCCAGTTACACAGTTCAGTGATGCTGCAGGTGAATGAGCTGAGAAAGCTGCTCTACCATCAGTTTCTGTTTGATCACTCAGAGATGACAATGGAAATATCCTCATCACCTGTTGACTCATTTATTGCCCTGTGAAGTAAAAATATACTTTACTGTACTATACACTCATGAAAAACTCCACTGTTTACTGGGTCATACATTGGTTCCTCCTGCCTGGAGTTTTGAATAATACTAATATACCACTAGTTCAGATCAGGTTGACACTGAATCGTACAGGAGGAGGACAGGATGCCTCATTGTTTAATGTTTCCACGGATACCGTCTCTGTTTCCATGGAGCCTGAAGCTGCAGATCCTGTCTACCATCTGCCACCTGGCTAAACACTCTGCCCTGTTAGAAACCTTTGGGGGACATCAGATACCCGGGCACCAGGGGATGAAAAAAACATTAGCAGCAACAGGAGACAAACCCTCACAACTGTCACCATATTGAGATTCTGCTATTTTAAACCTTCTCAAGCAAAAAGAGTATCTTTTAGCTCCTTTGGCATTTAGCACATTTGGGAAAACAAGATGGAGGAGATGGGCAAACAATGGCAGTGCGAGTCAGACCAAACTGTATACTGACAGCTCACAGCAGATTTCATTTTAACGTTTCGATCTACTAGAGGCAAATAACCATCACAAAGCAGGACACATAAGATATAGACACAAAGACATTCAGACAAATATTATACAGGAAAATATTAAATCTAATACATAAAAAAAACAATTATCATCGAAACTGCAATATAGAAATATTACTTGCAAACAACAAAAGTGCAAATTATGGGTCAGAATTTGATGCCTACAACAAAAGAAAAAGAAAGAATGAAAAATGGGCAATACTTCAACACATATTGAATCCTGAGAAAGACAATCAAAACATATTAATATCTGTGAATCAATCAATTCTGTGAATTAAAAGTGTAATCTGTTAATCATACTTAGATAAAATGTTTGTTCCAAGTATTTATTTAGCACATCTTGTCTCCATTGTTCTATGAGACAGTTTACTTTACATTTACTTTTCTTCACAGAAGTGAACCAAATGCTGAGATGTAGGCCTACTGTGTGTATTTTTAAAGTTTTCCTACGTGCCTTAAAATCAAGAAGGCCTTGCAACCCCCCATGAAGCTTTGGCGACCTCTAGTGGGGTTCCCAACCCCAAGGTTGACAGCTATTGCTCTAAACCACACGGTTGTATCACATCTGCATTCCTTCAAAATAAAACTTACTCCACCTCAATCAGCCAGGTCTCTAAAAAGTAACGGTTCTCTGCTTGGTCCTCAGGTTGGACGAGGAGCTGAAGCCGAGCTGCTGCCTGGTTCTGGAGGAGGACGAGGGCTTCAGCGACTGGAGTCACAGGCTGGAGAACCGTAATGAGCAGGAGGTGCCAGATGACTGTAGGGCCCGGGTGCAGAGACCTTCAACACCACAGTGGAAACCGGATCCTGAAGAGAGGAAAAAGCAGGTGGATGAGGAGGAGGAGGGATTTGACCCTGAACGAAGTGTTCGGTCCCAGGAAGCTACTACAAGACCTCCAGAGAAGGTACACCATCTAATAGATCGATACAGTCAATACTGCAAGCTTTCTGGTGGACCGAATGTTTTTCAAAAAATGTCTTTGAGAGCTTCTCATTGCAGGTTTACTGGACTAAACCATCAGTTCAACACCATCTCAGCTGGCTATTTATACATACATCCACACCTCATGGTTTTAAGGATGGCAATGTTGGTCTGCTTTAGTCCACACTGAGCAATTTATATTATTTGATGATTTTGATGAACATGAAATTTTGTAGAAAGAACACAGGACATGTTACAGAGCAAGAACAAGAGCCCGGTTTTGCAAGTGTGCTCAGTATAAAAAACAAAATAACTCAAATTAAACTAATAGATAATAATTGTTACCATAAGAATAAACTCATAAACTGAGCATGTGTTAATCAAAAGCATCAATCTTTTGATGAAGAGTGTCATCAGTAAAACATGTGCGACTAAACATGTCCTTAATTAGCTCTCTGAAACTACTCGGAGAGGAAATATGAAGCTTCAAACTCTCATTTATATTATTCCATGAAGATGTAGCAGCACATCTGAACATTACTTTGCTAGCTCAATATTTACTGTTGGAAACCAAAGACAGTCTGCAGCACTCTTTATCATTTCTGTACGCTTCTGGTAAATTCGCAGTTCTTCAATTTCCCAACTTGGGATCAATAAAGTATCTATCTATCTATCTTCTATCTATCTATCTATTCTCATCTATCTTCTATCTATCATATCCTATACTTTAGATAATCAGTGGGGAAGTGTTAACTAACTACATTTACTCAAGTATTGAAATATTTCTTTCTTCTTCCACCACTGCATATTATCATAACTGTAGAGTAACATGTAACCTGGTTTGCTTTTGGTTAATTTTAGATGTCCAGCAACAGAAAGGAGGTCAGGACGTCATACAGCTCAACGGTCTTCTTACCACAGGACGCCAGGCTGCAGCACGCCATGGGCCAACCAGCAGACCGGACATCCTACCTGGTTGCCGGGACGATGAAGCCACGGTGTGTCATCGTCTGGTTTTATCTTCCATGACATGTTGTCATAACCCCAAATGTGATCTCATAAATAGTTCTTTTCTTGGTTCAGTGTATAGTGTGTTAGTATCCTGTGATGTGATCATGCTGATTTTCCACTTCATTACAGTAACCAACTAAATCATCTCGTCAGCAGAGGAGGGGCCTGCAGGGTGGACGGGGAGGTGGAGCAGGAGGAGCAGAAGGAAGAGGCGGAGGTGCAGACTGCTCTGCAGGCAGAATGGAGGTCAGCAGAAACCCAGCAGAGCCCCAGAGATGAAGATGATCAGGAGGAAGAAGAACTGAGCTTCACACATGAAGAGAAAGAAGAACTCCACCTCAGGAAGGAGGAGAGACACAGGGAGGAGGAGGAAAAGGAGGAAGAGCACAAAATGTTAGACAAGGTTGGCTTTCTTACTACTACTACATACCTCTACATACCGACTATTACAAGTATCTTTATTTTATTTGCCCCAGTGAGGAGAAGATGATGTTTGTCAGTTGGTCTTTCCATCACCTTAGTCCACATCTAAATATGCTGGAAACCACAATCCAGATTGATGTGGAAACACAAAATTCCTTCTCGACCAACACTTTGCAATGTATCTTGAAAAGTAATCGCCTGATTTACATGACTTGTACTGTGGATATTTAGGGTCCCCAGAGGATGAAGCCTAATGTTTTTGTTGACTACACAACCTTTTGTCTAGCACAATAATTACACCACAGATTCTATTTATGCAGCGGACAGAACGAAATCTAAAGGTTAAATCTCCATAAAATTTATTTAACATATTCATGCTCCTTTGAGAGATCACAGGAGAATCCATCTTGCCGGGCCTCAAGCTATGCACTATGAACATAGTTATAGAACAATCAAAGGAGCTACTGGCAGTGTGACGCAGCGAGAAGTGACTGTTCATTCAAAACAACAATGTCAGCTGCTAAAGAGGTTAGTGTAGATAACTGCTAGCATCAGTTATATGAGAACTTGAGAGTATTTCTTCACTGAAAGAAGAGCAAAGAACGGCACTGAAGGCTTTTCTCGATGGAAGAGATGTTTTCACTTTTCTCTCGACTGGCTCACTGGGTCGTTGATCTGACTGGTTGAAGTTAGCCCATGATTTTGATAGACAGATGGCTCATTGAAAGTGCCTACCCTTTTCCAAACAGATATTCGAAGGACGACATCCAACCATCTGATGCTTCAGCTTAAATCCAAAGCAGATCAAGTTTCTATTTACGTTCAGTGTTACTCACTTAACAAACAAACATGTTGAATGTGCATGTGGACAAGAACAAACTAAACAGGGACCAACTCTTGAAAACATTGCTCCATGGCAGCACTAGTGGTCAAAAAAAAATTTCTAAAACGTATATGTTGTTAGGTGTGTTGAACTCTTTCACACTGTGGGGTGTTATTAAAGGGCCTCCAGTAGGAGTTTACACTTTTACACTTATTATTCATACAATACTTGTACTACTAAGCAGTAGTGTGCTGAAATAACACCAAACATGTCTCCTAGTGTTTCATAAAACATTTAATCAAACACATGCATGCTTATTAGAACTCACAGTTCATAGAATTTGGCTTCGAATCTGAAAACAATAAAGTGGAAGAATGCTGCGTTGGCTCGCAGGGTGTAGAAATGAGGCATTCAATCTGACAAAAGCAGCAATGATGTAAGATGTTGAAACAAATTCCTACTTTTACCACCAGTGGTTTGCCAGTGTTTCATTAGTCTTTTGCCACCAAATAACACAGTATGGGGGAACAGTGTGAACAAGTTTTTCCTTTATTTTAGAAAAAGAGGAGGGATAATGAACTGATAGTAGGCAAACTGCCCTTCAGATTATACTTTTAACACAATGTTTTTTACTATTGATCATGTTTGATCAGACTTATAAAATGGTACTGTATGTGTTGTCCTAGAGGCCGATGGAGGATAGAAGGAGTGAGGAAGTGAACAGGAATTCTGCAGCGTCTATTTGCAGCAGCAGCGAAGGCGAGGAGTCGCTAAACTGCTATGGTCCCATGAGCCCGACATTCAAGGTATCTCATCAAACCAAAGGTGGCCCGTGCAATAACATTGACCAGATTTAAAAAGCATTGAAATGTGTGATATGTTTCATTATTTAACACCAGCATCAGCTTATGGTATTGAAAAGTGTCTGTTGTGGAGATGACTGGCAGTCTGGCAGTTCGACAGTTGGACAGAGATAGTTGCTCTTAATAAGTAGTAAATCTCTCCACATGCAGCACAGTTCAGCATCTGAAATGTGATCCCAGATGTAGGTACACATGAAGTAAGTTCTGATACGATATCTGTATTAACAGCTTGTATTTCAGTATTTTCAAGTTGGAAATTTAGATTGTTTTCCTCTAAAAAAGTTTAGTCAGTTTTATTTATACAGCCCAATATCAAAAATCACAAATTTAGGATTTCAAGGGCCTTTACAATCTGTTTAACATACGACACCCTCTACCCTTATGCTGCATTCATATATTGTAATATTTTAAGTTTGGCCTCACCTAAATTTACCACCCTGCTCTCATCCATTAACTGTCTGCCTAAATTCATGTGAATGCAGACTCTCAATTCGGATGAGGACAAGACATGTACGATTCCTCCTCTGTTGCTCAGGATGGACAGACATGCAATAGATGTTGTGTGGAAAGAACAGACCAACATATTAAAATTACAGTATGGACAATTTAGGATGACAAGATTATATTTAGATTGTAAACATGTGTGAAGAATATTGATCCGGAAAGGACAATGAGCTGTTGCCAAGCAGACCTGAGCCAGACAACCTCCTCTCCACCATGGAGACCTGAAAACGACACAAACACACAAGCTCAAGCACGCCATTCACACAGAGAGGAGAAAAGAAACAAACACAGAGAGAGAAAGAGAGAGAGAGAGAGAGACAGAGAGAGAGAGAGACAAGAGGACAGGATGAATCTCCTGAAGGACGAAGATCCAGATACAAACATCTGGAACGAGGCAGCGACAGCCAACAGAGAGAGAGGTGCCAGGACGCCTGAACACAGAGAGGCCTTAGCAAAAAGAGAGAAGGAGGAGAAACTAGGAAGAGAGAGGAAGAAGAAAGAGAGAAGTGCACAGCCTGGATGCTTGTGTGCTTGTGGCACAGCAAACAAACAGAAGGTTAGAGGGATGCAGTGATTTTCATAAAGTTTATTCTCATCTGCAGGCATTTCCCATGACTTGTTTGTTTGTTTCTGGAGGATTATGTTGCTCTGCTCTGGAAGAATTGCACCTTCTTTTTCCGTTCCATTTTCTCCATTTTTTGTAATAAATTGTGCAGAATTTGACCAATGTGTTGGATCCAGGATCTACAGTAGGTTCAATTCGGAGGCTGTCAGTCACTGAAGTGATGGTGTCACTAATGTCTCTAAATTAATGTCATGAATCACTGATAGTAAAATGATGTGTGTGACATTAACCATGTTAAAATGTTGTCTCTTTCATGTTCCCTGCTGCTCCACCAGAAACTCCTCATTCAGTTTTATCCAGTAAGTCCCTGGCATTTCATCTGTATCAGCCAATAAAAGCTTTCAAATGAAATATAGTATAGTATTTCTGCTGATATGACGGGCCGAAAGATGACTCTTTAATTATGCATATGCAAACAGTTGATTAAGCAGGTGCATCATATACAGTGTATCTATGGTTGACTTTTTAAAGTGTCTAAAATGGACAGCAAACAAAGTTGCTATCTGCAATGATTGCTCAGTGTTTGTCATGCAAGGAGGAGCCAATTCACATTCCTTCAACACTATAAATTGAATTGCCCTTCTTAAGAACCATTATCCAAATGATTGCGATGAATTTACGAAGAGCAAAGAGAAACCTGTCAGCATCACAATAAGAGTATAGACATAATAATAATAAGTCCACTACAGGAGAGACTTTATGTCCTCCGCAGTTAGATGTAAAATAAAATGTGCATACATTGGCATCGTCAGTCTGCATATCGGCATATATCGTGCCTCCCTAGTGTGAGGGGTTCATTTGTGTCACACTATACAAATGGTATTGGACTGATTTCACACGTTATGTTTGAAACAGGAGCAACGTTCTGCATGTCAGAGTTGTACACATTGTCATTTAGCTGCCTGCAGTGATCTGTATCTCAGCACACTGTGTGTCCCTTTACAGGATGAAGCGAACAGCAGAATCTCAACAGACGGTAAATGCAAGGTGAGTGCTGCTGTAGACGAGTGTCAGGGTCAAAGCTCCAAGGTCGAGAGCTGCCAATTTTGTTTTAATCTTAGTTCAACTGTGTAAAGCTCTTCATTTTGAAAAGTATATACATTTTCATTATCATTGTTATTTTGTCAACCTTATGTCTTTCAAAACCCCATCAAGTAAACATACACAGAGTCTCTTTAGCCAATATTTGGGCAAATGTCGCAAATGTCTAATGTGAGAAAATTAAACCCTGTCTCTTCAACCAGGATTACGAAATTACCTGGAAAGCTGAATTGAGTGAAATCTTGAACTGCTCATTTTAATCTAGTCCATGTTCCAGATTTAAGGGCTTCTCTCTAACTCCTACCCTTCAGAAACCAGTAAAGGAACATGAGTTTCTGTCTTGATCTGTGAAAACAGATCAGGTTTTAATAGGTACAAATTACAGTTTTGTCCCAGTTGTAGGTCTGAACTGCAGCCTGCTTCAATAAAGAGTGATACTGTAGGTCATTTCCACAGTGTGAGTTATAACCATCGATTGTCTTAACTCTTTTCTCAGATCATAGAGAGAACTGAGTCTCTGAGGAAAAGGTGAGTCTGTGTTCATGTGTTGTGAAATAGACTGACTGAGTGTTATAATAATGCAATACAATTAGCCTCACTGACTGCTACAGTACATCAGAGCTGCAGGAAACTGTTCTTCTTTGGGTTTGACTCAACCATTCCGTCTGTCTCAAGCGCCACACCACCTCTTGGAAATATTCCTCGGAATAAAAATCTAATTTGTGTGACAGAGTTCAGAAGAAAGTCTGATTCCTCCTTAACAGACACAGTGCTTAAATACAGTTAAAACATAACTTGCTATTTCCAAAGTTTCTGGTGTGTTTACCTCATGTACCATACAGATGAGGGACAAATGAAAGGAAAAGCCAACATGAAGTATTTAAGTATTGGAACATCACGAGCCTCCAGAACAGCTTCAAGCACAGGGGCGCTGGGAGGGACTAGTTCATAAAAATGTTTAAACTTATGACTTTCTCCTTTTTTACTGGGGTTTACATGTGTAACTGGTATTTATGGCAGGAAAGAGGTTTTGCCTTGTGTTTTATCAGTTTTATCAGCTAAAATGTTGTAACATTTGTGCAAAATGTTGTTAATAACTATTGAATAGGTTATAAATTATCCTGGCTATTCAAATTAATGCCAAAACAATGAATGTTATGCATTTGGCATTTTGTATGACGTTATTATGTAGACAGATTTTTTTCTCAGACTTACTGTGTCCCTGGCTTCAAGTCTCTGACCTCTACTGGAGGGATGAACATCATTCTTCCAAAGGACATTCCCTCATTTGGTGAATTTGATGATGGCGATGGTCTGTCCTAAATCGCCCATTGGTGTTCAGTCAGGTCGAAATCTTTCAACCGCGTAGGCTACAGGATTCACACCGTTTTCATGCTCACCAAACCCCTCAATGGCCCCTCACTCCCTCTATTAGTTGCATTTCTTCACTCATTTCTTCAGTTTTTCTTTTTTTTTTATCACCCGTCTGTATGTTACTGGTAAAACAGTTGCATCTGTATCTGAAATTATACTTCTATTATAAATCATTTATCCATTCTTTTAAAGCACCAGCAATGTAAAAAAGACGCAGCCACCAGTTGCCGTTTCCAAGATTGACAAGAGACTGGAGCAGTATACACATGCTCTTGAGGTAAAACCCCATTCAGTTACCTTCTATTTTTCAGTGGTTATTTTTCTTTTAATGACTTAATCAATGAGTAGGTAAACTAAATAATAATAAGCAAGTCTTGTTTGGTTGTTTTCTTTGGGTCTTAAAAGAAACCATAATGGGTAAGCAGCCATTAACAATGAGCAGAGAGGAGACTTACGTTAAGTAAAAAAAGTAAAGGAATATGTTGCCAGACTTAGGACTTGACATATAAAAGATGGATGCCGCGTCTCCACTTCCTCCCACTGTACAAAAATGAAGCCAAAATATCCAGGATACAGCCGTTACCATCTTTCCAGTTGGCCATCAAGATCTTTTGGCTTCACTTTTGGAGAGCTGTCACATCGTCCATCTTTATATATGTCGAAGATTAAGTCTAACTTAGTTCCTTTTCCTGTAAACCAAACACAGTTCTGAATCTTACTGTATTTTGCACAGGTCTCCTCAAAGGAAGGCAGATCAGGCAATCAGGTGCTGACGGACCTGACGAGTCCCACTGAACCCGTCTCCTCCAAGAAGAACCTGTTTGAGGCCGGAGAAGCCTGGAACCAAAACGTGGTCTCAGTCACACCATCTAAGGTTAAGGATGAAGTTGATTAACTTTATCATATATGTATATATATATACGTAATAACTCCCCTTCTTTATTTACAAGCATCAACCAATATTTCTTCTTTTCTGTCTCAGGATGCAGACGGGTTAAAAGTTGGTGTGGCTGATCTCATTAATCAGTGGGTGAAAGGAAGTGAAAATGGAAGCCGGTGCAGCTCGCCTTTCAAATCAGCAGTAAGTCCGAATTGTACCTGTGATCATGTGAAACGTGTCTCTCTTCCTTTTCTCTATCACTGTACATTTCAAGTTTCAGTTCTGTGGGATGAGATTTATCTATATAAAGTGTTTCATTCTGTAAACTTTTCTTTCTTCTCAGTTTTCTCCTCAACTCCCTGTCTGATAACGTATTTAGCTGCTTTACTTCATGTTCCATTTCATTTGGGTTCACTTAAGGCATGAAACTCTTTTCAATCTTCTCTGCTGCATGCGACCACACCCAAGCCTCTTTTCATCTGGTGTAAATCATGTCAGCTCAGTTTAACAGAGCAGTTAGAGAAAGTCTGCCCCCTTGTGGCTGCAGTGGCATCGCTCAACTCTTTCACATGGAGATCATTCAGGCAAAAATGACAAACTAATGCTTTATGTTTATTTGTGAGCCCGCTGTCACAGGCTATGAGCTTAGTGTGGATGAAAATCATGATCAGTTCAACCAAAAAAACTAGTTTTACTTCTAGTCCCAAAATTAATCTGAGGGGTTACTACAGGATTGAGGGGACAAGGGAAAAAACTGTCACACAAAATTATTATTTGTTAAAATGATTTTACTTTATTTATCTCAAAATAAAAAATAATATTGGATACTATCACCTCTTCATGTTTGCACTCAAGTTGTAAACTGTGATAAGGAATCGCAAATACACATTGCTTCTTTCTGACGGATAACAGCACACTGATTTTAGTTTTTGCACTTTTTTTTCATTTTCCATCCCTTTAATATTTATTTAGTCTGAAAATATGTGTTTGTATGTGTGTGTTTTGTCATACAAAGGTGCATTCAGGGACACTATGGGAGCTGATCTAAGGGAGTCAAGCAAATAAATCAGTCACACAAACAGACAAAACAAAAGCTTTTCTAGATTTTTCTAAAACATTTTAATCAAAGATTTCTACACAGTAACTTCAAACTGCTGCTCTTTTATTTATTGAGAAATGGTTGTAATTTAAGGAACAAAATAAGAAAGATTTACCACAAAGATAAGGTATAAAAATTGAGAAAAGTTTTTAATTGTAATTACATGACCTGATTGGATGAATGAGGACACGCTGCAGTGAATCTGTCTCTGATCAATACTGTTTTATCGACTGACTTTCAGGAGAGCTCCAGTGGTAAAAGACATAGGTTTGTGGTGACGGGTCACGGCAAGTATGAGAAGGTTTCTGTTGACAGTGGCTGCAGTGAAGATACAAACTGCCAGTCAGGTAAGACCCCCTCACAAAATAGTACCTGATAAATGCACTATTTCTTCTTGTTTGGTTAACGTTTGCTAAAACTACAGTGGCCAGCTGTTCCAAGATATTAATTAGCCTGTTTTAAAAATGAAACTATAGAGTCAGAAAGTACTGAGAGATGTATGAACACATTGTTTGTTTTGGTCTTTTCATGGGATTTGACAAGAACAAAAATGTAGAATAACAGAAGCCTTATCCTTTAACAAGGACTTGTCAGCTGTAATAACAGTTCTGAACTCTTTTTAACCCTTTTTTGCTATATTAATTTGCTATATTTGGTATAAACCAAAGCATTGTGGTTAATAAAGAGAGAAATAAAGAGAGAAATACAAGACAAGAGTTCCACATTAAACTTTATGCATTTTTGAGAATCACACAGTAAACAAAATATGTTATAGTATAAGCATCAGTGTACTAAATGGGGCAGTGGTTAGTTCATAGGGGTAAAGCCCCCCCTCACCTAAAATAAATTCCACATCTTGGTGGTCATCTTTTAAATCCAATATAGGGACACAACAACAACATGCTAATATCTGCTACAACAGCAGAATCCTCCAAAACTGTGAAACATCACAAACATCATCTGATATCTGTCCGTCTCCAGCTATCACTTCATTTCCATTCATTGGTCTTCACTTCTACATACTAGTTACATCCAAAACTCAGTAAAATTGTAATAACTGAGTAATGAAGTCCTGGACATTACACTACAAAGCAGGAAATTAGTATCCACCAACATGGTCGCTACGTTTCTGGCTGGAAATATTTTTATCATCCTTTATCATCAGTCCTTAACATCATTCAAATTATAAAAGCAGTGAGTTCTGACAAAAAACCTGTGAAATTACAAAACAGGAATTTGATTCTGGGATGTGGGACTGGGCAATGCATGACATGATGGTCTGAAATAACACCAAAAAGCAAAGATAATTTGTCAGTTTTCTACCACTTGAGAATACAGTCTGACTTTCCATCACTGCGTAGTCTAATGGGCTTTTTGAGGCTGTACTAAGAAACAACAGTGCTTTTAGTTTAATGCTAACATCATTATGCTAACTCACTGTTACAATGCTAACATGCTGTTGTTAGCATTGCACTTTAGCACTTTATACCTGCTTGTTGCAGGTATAAAGTTAACATGTTCACAATCTTAGTCTATTGTGTTAGCATGGTAAAATTTGCTAATTAGCATCAAACACAAAGTACAGATCAGGAAAGTCAGCAGGATTAGTCCTCTAGGGATCATTAATGTCTGTACAAAATATATTGGCAATTGTTTTAATAGTTGTTGAGATATTACAGGGAAGAACAAAGTGATTAACCAAACAACAGATCCAACATTGCCATCCCAAGAGCCACCAGAAACAAACAAAAATCACCTAAGCATCTATAAATATATTAAAATATATTTTTTGCGCAGCCCCAAGACGTACCAACCTGCATGGTTGTAGTTTCCTGCCCTGATCGAAAGTCCAGACATCCGGCACTTTATTTCCATCCATACCTGACTTGCAGAAACCTAAATCTGTTTTGACCAGACCTTCATCCTTCATCCATCTCTGTTTTCCTTCTTTCAAATTCCATCTGTTCCATTGTTCTAGGAATGTAAAAGCCCTATTTATCACAGAGGTTAAACACTGCCTATCAGCGGTGTACACTAAAAGCCTTTTAGAAAAATAGAAAAAAGTACAGCATGATATATGAAACAATCTTTTATCTATCAAATTATCTACATGCATGCATTCAACACTACATCTAGGCCATCAACAAATGAAAAAAGAAAAATCTAATCAAGTAGAGTTGCAAAGTATATAAGACTCCTTTCTTTCTTTGCCCTATATTTTTTCTTTCTTGTCAACTCACATCCTAATATGATTTATTAAAAGTGCAAAGATGCCACACCTGTTTTACCGTTAAACTATTTTAGACCTTTAAAAGCTAAATTATACACTATACTGTATCATACATCCTAAATAACCACAACTGATCAAAATGTCATTATATGTCAATATTAGTACTTACTTGATATTGGGATGAATTTTCTTTTAGTAAAACTTTCTTTGCATTCTAAGCTCAAATTTAAAAACCATGGCAAAGTTCTAGCTCCAGTACTAGGTCAGGTAGATGGTGATTAAGCAGTAATCAATGACACTTTGAATCTTTTTTCCCCTCAAGAATAATTTACCTCTTCACAGCAGCCTTGACTTTTAAAATTAACTTCAGCTATTCTGCAGAAATCCACAAATGTGGATGTCTATTTACTTCCAAATTCTCTCGTATTATTCCTTTTCTCAGAGGCTCCCTCACCTACCTGAGATTGCATCTCTCTATTTTGTGCTGAATAACACAACACAAAACTACACACATTGCTTATCATTTATCAACCCCAAAGAAACTTTTCCACCAGTTCAAGTTACATATCTGTTTTCTTCGTCGAGCCGAATCCTCTGGCTTTTCTGTTGAAGTCCTTTTGTTCGTCTTCCTGGCCTTTGCGTTTTATCAGCCCCTTTTCAAACACTGCTGCTATTTTCGTGAGTGGCTTTTCGGCTGCCTCTTTAAGCTTCCTGGCATCAAAACGGGGGCTGTACAACAAAATTGGCAGGCGATTGACAAAAGAGGGAACTTCTCCTTGATTTTCTTTAGGGGCCTTTTTGTCTTCTGAATCTTTCTTGCTGGTGTTGATCTGGTGCATGATTCGGTCTTTGGTAGAGAACATCTGAAAGAGGAGGGCGTCCCACATCTTCAACGCTTTGGGACCTTCTTTGTTCGTAACCACCTCCTGATTGGCACATTGGTCTGCTGACGATTTATCATCATCACCTTGATCTGTTTTCTCATTGCTGCCACTGGAGTCGACCTGAGATTTGGGCTCCAGCTGTGGAAACTCAGGTTCCTCTGGCTCAACAACCATGTGTTTCTTGAGCCTTGTCCATCCACTGAGCTTACCCTTTAGGCCTTTTAGCTTCAGGGCTGCTTTGGGCTCAGTGGATGAAGGGGATGTCTCTGTTTTAATGGCTTTCTTGTCAGTTGAAGATGCAGTTGATGTCGTTGACTTCGTGGAGGGTTCGACTGCTTGGGCTTCCTTCGGTGCAGCTGTACTTTTGGTCCTGTCTTTGAATCCAGTTTTTTGCTGAGATGGCGGTGACGTTCCTCTGTTTGGGGATGGAGCTTTGACTGAGACTGAGGCCTGAGGCAGAGAGGCAGGAGTGGCAGAGTCAATCACAGCGGCTTTAACTATGGACGGTTTAATGACAGTATCTGTTGCGGGCTTTGCGGGGGAAATGTTCTCTACTGGTAGCTCTGTCGAAGGCTTAACGTTACTGATGTGTGAGCTAATCTGGACCGGATTGGAGGGAGGTTTTCTTTCTACAGTGGCAGAGGAAGGTCTTGGAACTACCTGTTTAGTGAGAGGTTGTGCTTTTAGAGTAGGTTGGCTGGTTAAAACGGGATCAGCAGAATACATGGGAGTGCTAGTTTCAGTGTTCAGTGAGGAGAGTTTTCCTTCCTTACTGGAATTTGTTGCTAGGTTAGTTTTTATCTTGTGCTTTTCGGAATGTACTTTTACCTCAGCACTCTTAGCCAGAACCGAAGTGTCCTTAGTTGTGGGTGATTTTATTTCTGCTTTAGAGATATTCTCTTTGATTGACTTAGCAGAGGGCTGAACAGTGCTAGTAGGTGTATTATTTCTAAGAGGCATAATGGGAGATTTTGTGTGGTCTCTAATAATGACTGATGGGGGTTTTGTTTCGGTAGCATGGTTTAAAGACACAGAAGTTTGAGGGAACTGGGGTAAGGTTGGAGTATAGGTTCGAATAGGTGTATTACCCACTCTTTGCTCTGGTACAGGGGAGGCTCTTGTTGCAGTCCAAGGTTTAGTTACTGTAGCAGGGCTAAGTGGGGCTTTAGTTCTGGTTGTTTCAGCAAGGGGCTGAATATTTATAGCACTGGGGTTATTTAAATCCGTGTGTGAGGCCGTTTTTACAGTGTGAATGTTAGTTTCTATAGATTTCTTTGTCTCAATGACAGATTGCTTAATCTGTTTCATTCCAGTCTGATAGTTCATTGAATTCACAAAGGGATGAGCATTATCGGATACGATTTGATTTGGCTTTGCAATGGTTTGCTGATCTACACTAACACTATATATGTTAGCCATGGCATAACCAGAAGAAGAGGAAGTTGTTGTCTCAGGCTTACTTACTGAATTTTTTGTTCTTGTAGGGGGAATAGGTACAGATTTATTGACTATAATTGGCTGAATGAAAGGGGATAGCTCTGTTATGGTGGTGGTTTTATTAGTAATATGTGGTGCAGATTGCTCAGCAAGAAGGTTGGCAATTGGTGCTTTTGAATTTGCGTAGACTTTTGTTTGAGCAACAGACCCAGAAACAGGTTTTGCATCGATGGTTGGCATTGTTGCAGGTCTGTCTGATCTCAGCTTAGGGCTTTTTGGTGTGACGTGCCTTATAGTAGGGCTAGATGGCATTGTAGCTTTACTAACCTGCACAGTATTGAAAGATGTTTGGGATGCTGGGTCTGTTATCACAGGCAAAAGAACTTCATTATGAAGCTTGTGGGGAACTTTGGTGTCAACCGCAGCAATACTGACATTGCTGCCCAAATTGGATCTGTTTGACTGTGCAGTTTCAACAGGTCTGCTGTGTTGAATAGCCACTACACCTCCTGGTTGTCCAGGTGAGACCACGTCTGTCGAAGACTTGCTGACAGTTAGCAATCCTGCAGACGGTTTGTTGGACAGTTTGGTTTCAGTGTTAGGTACTTTGTTTCCTTGTAAAAGATAATAATCTGGTCTCGTTTCAATAACACATTTTGTTTGAATGTTTTCTGCTCTAATAGGTATAGTGGAAATATGCTCTGTTGGTGTTTTTCCAGTCAATAAAGCTACTCTTCCATTGGTGGGTTGTGGATGCAATTCTGTGAGTACTTGGGAAGGGTAACTGGGGAGTTTGGGCTCTACATTAACTAGGCTTGACAATATTGTGTTTTTCGCAAGGATGTTGAGACTAGTTTCAGTTGCTTGTGTGGCCTCTAGCATAGCTCTGCTTGAATTTGTATAGAAACTTGCTCCTTGAACAACTTTATCTTGGGCACTGGACCCAATGCTATACTGTGTCATCAGAGGTATGTTTTCAGTAGTTCTGGTTAACTTTGGGGGCTCTTCTGTGGGCACATTGGAGGTCATATCTAAAGGGAATTTAATATCTGAAAGGTTGGGTGATTTGGGTGCAGTGACAGATAGGTCTGGTTGTCTGGTTCCTGTGGTAGGTTTTCCCCAGTTAGTATTAAAAGTGGGTGTGTTTGGTATACTTGGTGCTTGAGAATATTTTAAAGAGAGACCATCTCCAGACAAATGGATCTTATTTTCTAATATTTTACTATTTATGTGATTTTGAATTTCTATGCTGGGCTGTTGTGTGATTTTTGTGCTTTGGATGGCTGCAGATACTGTGCAGATATTGTACTTTGCAGAACATACAGATGCTGTGACAGGCTCGTGTGGCAAAATGGATCCTGTGGTAGCAATAATTGATTCTTTAGAGAATATATTTGAGACTTCGGGTTCAGTTTTTATTTTGTCAAAGATCCCTTCTATATTAGCAGCCACAGACGGGAAGGTGTTCCCCATGTTTATTTTATTGGGTAGAGTAAGTCCGCTGCTTGCTTTGATATGCTGATTAACCTCTTCCCTCTGTTTGTGTAAAACAGCTTCAGTAGCCACTATTCCAGGCAGTGGTGTTTCTGAAATCAGTTTGGTGGCTTGTTGTTTTCCTAAGATGAATGCACTGTTTATGATGGCACCCCCTGATAATTTGGGCTCTAACTCTGTGACAGGAGACTGAATAACCAGGTTTTTACAATCAGCAAGGTGTTTGACAGGCTTGGCAGTGAGCTGAACATTGACACCATTGGCTGTTGACAGACTGACTCCACCAGCAGTTTGGTAAGACTGAACCGGTACCAACTCTGTTTGTCCTGACTGTTGTTTTGCATTTACAACTTCGGATTCTCCTTTTATAGGCTTTTTCTCATTGTCACCTTTCTCTATGATATCTAAACCTTTTACACTATGCTGTGTTTCTGCATTTGAATCAACTTTCACTAAAGGTGAGGAAGAACTCAACAGGCCACTGCTATCAGTCAGGTATGGAGTTGTATTTAAAGCTGCCCCTATAGAAAATAGTTCTGCACTTTGTGTGTGTACCTCACCTGCTTTAGGTATTGGTATTGGAGCCTCAGAGTATGAGGCTTTTGGTGTGGATACATCACTTGTAGATTGTTGCATTGTTTTCTGTGCCAAGCCAAGGGGAAGCTCAGGTTCTATTGTGTCCATGCTAGATGTTTTAAGTGATTGTATTCCAGTACTGTGAGCTTCAGACTGACTTTCCTCAAACAGATCTTTGCTATGTGTGACAATCTGTTCAGAACCCCTTGGAGTTGACAGAGGTTGCAAACTGTGAGCAGAAGAAACCTCCATGGACGAGGGAAGATCTTGCTGTCCGTTAGGTTGTTTTGTTGCATCAGACTTTGAGATGTGTAATTCTTCTACAGCTACATCTGACTGTGTTTTGTTTGAAGAGGTTTCCTTAACCCCAGGGGGTACAGGACTGTGATGTGATGTAATAGTCCTAATCCCACCATAGGCAACATACTCAGCTGGAGTAAGCCCATAATACATTGATCGTGATTTGGGCTTTGAGGTTGCTAATGACATTTGACTCTCCAATAGTGACGTCAAAGACTTGCGTGCCTCGACCACAGGAGGATGATAGATGGACAGCAGGGGACTTGGACTTGTTGGGGCTTGCATGGACATCACTGACAGAGGGTTGAGATTTGAAGTATTTGGTACAGTAGAGAAAAATGATGGAACCTTTGGCAAAGATGAAACTTCACTTTCAGAAACTTGGTCTGTTTGTAGTTTTGGGATGACTGGTTCTATTACTGTTGGTTTAACCAGAGCAGAATCAGGTGCAGTCATACTTGATGCCAACTTCTCACTGGGGTACAGCTCAGTATTTATTGTACTCCTTTGTGCATTTTGAATCTCTATCTCTTTGTAATTGCTGGCTTGTTTGATTGAAGTAATGTGATTAACATCAGTCAGCTTCAGTTCTTCTGTGGGAGCTGCAGGTTTACTTATCGCTGATTTGTGTCTTGGAGCCTCGTTGGGAATTGCAGGAGTTTGTAAACCTTGGGGGGAATTGAAAGCAGGACTTGCAGCAAATAAAAGTGGGTTGGGTTTGGATATTTCAAAAAAGGGTGTGGATACTCGAGCTGGTGTGCAAGAGGGAGTTTTAGGTCTTCCACATTGGGACTTGGACACAGACAGTTTCTGATCTGTTTTCACCACTGACACAGCTGCTTTCTCCCTGTATACGGCCGATACCGATGCTCCATGATTGGCTGGGTTATTTACTGTGAGGTCCTGCATGGAGGGAGGTTTAGAGATCTCATAAAAAGTTGCCTTCGATGTATAAATCCTGGTTTGTGCAGTGTCAGGCCTTGTCTCTTTCACAGCTTCAACAAGTGATATTTTTGAGGCGGTTATCTCAGGGGACATCTGGCTTGGAACAAAGTTGCCATTACTGGTAGGTCGGGCAGTCCAAGATGATGCCTGGCTCTGAGGGTTGTCCTTTAAACTGGCGTTTGTCTCCCTCTGGCTGGAAATAAAAGGTTGTGTCTGAGTGTCTGAAACTGATAGCAGCAGTGGAACAGGAGGTAGGTATGCAACTTGAGAAAGTGCCTGGCCTGGGGCACAGTTGGGGGCGGCTGGGGATAGGGTCAAGCTGTGAGTTGATATTTTAGTGCTGGACTGTGACACAGCGACTGCAGGGACTGTTGTGACTGACCCATGGGAATTTGGTGTCATGTTTAAATTGAAAGCAGGAGGAAGAGGTGGTGCTGGAACCTGCTCAGGTAGTGATGAGGGTGTTGAACCTGAAGGTGCCATCATGAAGGGAGTAACGTCATCGAATAAAAAAGAGGAGCACTCATACAACGGAGCCACCTGCTCTTCACTGATCTGAGCTATGTAGGACTGAGGGGAGATGCTGGCAGTTTGGCTATAGGGGCTGCTCCGAGGATGAGGGAATGCAGATGCAGAGTTATCATAGAGGGAGCCAAAGGGGAAACCAGACAGTGAAGAGTCTGCAATGTAGACTGAATCTGGTGTCCTTGGTGGGCTGGACTGGTCACTGTGCTCAAGGTCTGTGCTGGCTTCATTGACAGGTGACAAACAGGAGCGAAAGGGGACGGGTGTCTGAGAGAGGCTGCCTTTTTTCTTGGCTCGCTTCTTCTTGAGTTTCTGAAGCCTTGCGTTGTCTTTGCCTGGTTTTGGCAGTAAGGGTGGAGGATACTGCTGGGAAAGGTCAGGATCCAGCCCGTTACTGTAGCCTACTTCCATCAGCATTTCACACTCCTGTAAGACAGATGAGACACATCAATTTGTTTATCTTTAGCCAGAAATACTAAGCAAAACAGGCAAGTTATTCATCATAATAAGCATATTTGCTTGATAACAAATGCTTCTAACATCATTTGTAGTCAGTATTAATTAAAATATTGTCTCATGAAGAGGTTACACATCATCTGGCTAAAGAAGTTGATAATGAAACTATTTTGGCATTGGTTTTTATGACTTAAAAGCCAACTAGATTATTAAGACGTCAGAGCAGGACTTTGATGAGGTGCTGGATGCATGGTGTGATGTTCTCAATCCCTAAGCAGCTGGAAATGTTGAGGAGTTTTTTTTCCCAATACAGAGTCGGGCTAGAAAGTACATATTTAATGCCAGAAATCTCAGCAGCTGGCCAAATAATAACTGAGTTTGTTTTTTATTAATTATAAATAGATATTTGAAATTTGTTTGTATGACATGTATAAATGCTGATAATAAGCTGTTTTTCTTCTTTTTCAGCTGGGCAGTTCTACGAAGATTTGTGAAACACATGCTGGACTTATGGATTATGAAGAAAAATCTTTGATACTGCACAAATTATAGCCACTTTCACTTCATCATTCTCTGTATTTTAAGCTTTAGGTTGGAAATGTAAATGTTTAAACAATTCCCTGTGAAAGGTAGTGAAGCTAATAGTCTTTTTTTCTGTTCATACTGAATAATAATCTCAAGATAGACAGTACATAAACAGTAGTACATCTTTTCATACAATGAAAATAACTTCAATTAAACTGATTTCTGATGTTTGTTTCCTTAATACTTGATAAAAACCTTGTGTCTTTGTTTCCTTTGTCATTTACTGTGTAGGTGAGCTCATCGTCTTTCTCAGTATAGTGTATTCAGCTGCTTTCCAACTGCACTGATTTAAACCATGCTAATGGCTCTGAGACAAGTCTGCAGTGGACTTTAGAAAACTATGAGCTCTCATGACAACAGGCTCATTAGCAGGTTTCAAAACTCTTAATTGGGTCCTGAAGATGCTGCATGGCTACAAGAAGCATCACTCTTGGAAATAGAAAGGCATGTAAAGCTGTTGCTTATGGCGAGGCTACTTTGAAATGATGACAAACTACTTATGGAAATAGTCTCTCAAGGAGACTGTCGGATTTAAAAATGACCTCTGCAGGAAATAAAAGTAAACCCAAAGGAAGGTGATTGACACATACAGGAGGGTGACCAGGTCCATGTAGGGAGGAGGGGTGGTAGTATTTAGATAATGTTTGGAACTGTAGAAACTTAAAACGTGAGCAGCAGTAAATTGGGTCAAAATTCCTTGGCCATTGACATTACAAGCAAACAATAAGAAGGAGGTCAAAGGTCAGAAGCATAATTAACTGATAATAATTGTGACATACATTCCTCTGCACCCAGGATTATGTGAGACAAAATGTTTTTAGAAGGGAGATGGAATAAACTGAAGCCGCAAAGGGAATTTTGAACACTTACAAAATATCACAGAAGATAATTAATATTCAAATTTTACATATTTTTTTATAAATCATTGGTTATGTTTACTATATACTATATGTCTACTTGGTTGTTTCGAGTGGCAACATGAGCTGAATTGTTTGCTTTCTGTCTGAATACTGGAGTATCTTTGGGTGACACTAGAAAAGGTCCACGGTCTAATTTTAGACTGAGAGAAATAAGAGCAAACATCCTGACACCCAGCACCTGCTGCCTGCCGTCCTGCACTCACACAAACAGCCTCAGTCTGCTGGAAATCGATCCGAGACCCAAATCCTCTCAGAGCTGCTCCGACTGTGAGCTTAGCCTTGTGTTTCGGAGCGATGATTATCTTAGATTTTCATTAATGTCATGTTAGCACCAGTTTGGTCTCAGAATCAGGAGAATTATACCCAACAGGATATTTTCTGTTTGACAATTTCTCTTTTGAATATTTTAAGTTACAAGATGCAGAAAACCTGCTGTGAGATGATGCTTGAAATTACATCAGTATTAGATGTTTGGCTGGTTTTGAGCAAACGGTTAACATGAATCCCTGTTGTCAAAGTGACTCCTGCAGTCACAGTGACAAGGAGGCCAGCTGACACATGAGAAGTCCCCCTTTTAAGGCTCTGGGGTTGGATCTGGGAGGCTTCCACTGGAGCAGCTCAAAAGAGGAAAGTATAAGATTAGCTTTGTGATAAAAATGTGCCATGACCTCAATCTATCTAGCTTTGAAGAACATAATTAAACAAAATGGAGGGCAAGCTCTTAATTAATTACCATGTTGCTATATTATGAATCTAAGCTACACTTACCTGATGTGGAAATAGGTGTTGCTTGTGTTTTGCTGGACAGGCTGCAACACAAACAACAGTTTGGTGTAAGAAGGGAGGTACAGAGACGCTTCATTTATTTAAAAAGGATACAAAGGCCAAGAAAAAGGATAAAAGTATAATCAATGTGTTGCTGTACATGTTTTGTAAATGGCTGAATCATGCTTACATCTATTATGGCAGAAACTGTGTGCAGAAACATGGTAAACACTGACAAGCTCTTCCTCTCACAGATATAATGTCTGATATGCATCATGCATTTAAGATTTCAAATCGTGCACGTGCTCCTATCAAATCCTATGCACCATTTGCAGGTTAGCACCTGGTCGATGGGTCAGGACCGCACTGCAGTACCCCCAGCTTGTCAATCAACAGACACTGAGTTTGACTGGTTTACCTTCGGCGAGCGGCTGTCGGGACAAACTGCTCTCTGCTTGTTAATCCCGGCTCAGGGTGCCACATGGCCGACTCATCCTGAAGTGAACTGACGCCTTAGGGAGTGAGCCACAGTGCCCGTGGCCACTCCAAAAATAAAACTGTTGCCTTCAGTGTATGTTGCAGGGGCAGATGGGGGTTTCCAGGCCACCTGAGATGGCTGAGGTGCAGCCCCTACAGGCGGTCGGCAGACACCTCCACCTGAGGGAAGGTGGTTGTTTTTGTCAGCTCAGCAGACCAGCAGGAATAAATCCAGTATGTATGTAGGACATGAGGCCTTTACCTGACATCAACAAGGACAGGGTGCCTGCTTGTGTTGTTTACTATCACAACTTCAATCACACCTTTACTTTGGGGGATATTTTCTTTTTTTTAACACTTTTAACCATGCAGTTTATCAGCTTGTTCAGGCCTCTAATAAAGTCTAATAAAGATATAATATGTAAAATGTCTGCATTAAAATGTCTATGTTACATATTTTGTATGAGTTTTTGTCTTGATGTGACAGACCCACTAGCAGTAGAAATTACATACTGTATGTTTAAGGTTCTACCAAAACGGACAAAAAGCCTTTTTCTCTCCCTCAGGTATGACTAACTTAATTTTGACCAAATTTCTGTTTCCAGTACAGATGAAGTCTAGGTAAATATCCATTATAGACCTAACAGAAAGCCTGATTTGCAACTGTCTTTTTGTCAGTAGAGTGTTGTTGTCTACAGTTACAGCTTCTGTCACTGCTGCTATTAACACGTATGCCCATGCAGTGCAGTTCTGCAAACCAAGTGTCACTTTACATCATAAAACTTTACTTCCTCTAGTGGAATTTGTCTCTGTGAGGCACAATCAGGAAGTGGGCCTGGAACTAAATGCTTTCTGCTTTGAAGTCCCAGCTCCCAGTTGCAATAGAAAGGAGTATTTATTATATGTGACTGTTAAGCGTTTTGTGTGTTTATTAAAATAAACTCTATAAAACTCTGCATGTTATTTGGTGATCAGTGACAGTGAGTGTTGTTGCACTAAAGCCTCTGACCACTAGTACTGTGCAGCAGTGAGTGAACCAGGAAGAATTTATGCACCTTGGATTATTTTTTGACCGTGTATAGGGAGGGGTCTCTCTCCTGAAGGCCCCTCCTCTAAACCAGTGAATCTCAGTGAGCCCTTTTCAATCACTGAGTAAACTGCTGACCCCTGCTTACATGTTTTATGGACATTTCACATTAAATTCAGTTCATATCAATATACAAACTGTTAACTATTAACCCAAATATTGAACACAATAACTATTATATTACTGGTAATAACAAATGAAATTTGTGCAGAATTAGCAATTTGGATTAATTCTGAGCAGATTATTTCCTGCAAATATTGAATCAGAGTTTTGCTGATATTTTCACAAACTTTTAACACCATTCTCTGTCCATATTATGTTTTTTTATTCTATTTTTTCGACAAATTCAGTGTTTTCTTCTCCCTGATGTTTGGCCATTGTTCTCTTTGGTTGTTTTAACAGTGTTCTTTTCTAATGCAGGACGAGGCTGTTCAGCAGAGAGCAAAGGCTCTGTGAATATAGCTTGTGTTCAGTTCTTCAAAAAAATCTTAAATAATCTAAACTTTGAAAATAAAAATATACAATAGGCCTGTGTGTCAGCATTTCATTCATTTCTGTGAAGAAAACTAAATTAAATTAAA